CTCGCTGCGGACCAGGTGGAAAACTATTTGTGCAACATCCATGTGCCTGCCCACACCTTTCCATGCCAAAGCTCAGCCAGGCAGATCTGCTAGTGGCAGCAGTGTGCCAAGAAAGCTGCTGGACCAGTCGCTGCTTGTTCGGAACAGCCTGGCAATCCTGTAAGTATATAAAAAAATGGTATTACCTAAAACTATCTTTTGCTTTGCACTGCCACCTTGTGGCTTTTGTTGCTGTTGTTGTTCAGTCGCACAGTCGAGTCCGACTCTTCGCGACCCCATGTGGCTAGAACCCGCTATAGCTGAAATACACATTCCCATGAGGGTTGACTGCATCTTAAAACAGAGCTGAGACCTTCCTTCACCACCACAGGTATTAAATTGCATAACTGGGTCACGTTGTTTACCATTGTCAACAAAAGGTATTGCATGGATTTTGATTCAGGTTCTGGATTTTGCATGGGTCAATATGGCTGTTTACAACTCCCCCCCCCCTTTATTGCATCCAGAGTGAATGGTCACTGTGCTCATTTTGCATGCTTTTTGGGTTTAGCATGGGGAATCTCTCTTCCCCCCATCCCCAGAGTCTGATTGCCTTGCTGATGACTAAGAAACCATTCCATGCATCAGACAAAGTGGGTGCTAACCCACAAATGCTTCTGCTTCAATAAAGGTAACAGCATGATAAAAAGTATCATGCTAAACAGCATGATAAAAACTAGAGACATCACCCTGCCAACAAAAGTCCGCATGGTCAAAGCAATGGTATTCCCAGTAGTAATGTATGGCTGCGAGAGTTGGACTATAAGGAAAGCCGAGCGCCGAAGAATAGATTCTTTTGAACTATGGTGCTGGAGAAGACTCTTGAGAGTCCCTTGGACTGCAAGAAGATCAAATCAGACAATCCTAAAAGAAATCAACCCTGACTGTTCCCTGGAAGGCCAGATAATGAAACTGAAGCTCAAATACTTTGGCCACCAAATGAGAAGGGAGCACTCACTGGAGAAGAACCTGATGCTTGGGAAGATTGAAGGTCAAAGAAGACGGGGACGGCAAAGGATGAGATGGTTAGACAGTGTCAAAGATGCAACGAACATGAAATTGAGCCAACTTCAGAGGACGGCGGAAGACAGGAAGGCCTGGTGGGAGCTGGTCCATGGGGTCGCGAAGAGTCGGACTCGACTGTGCGACTGAACAACAACAAAGGTTTCCTTGCTCGAAAGCCAGTCGAATCCGACTCTAGGGTTGCGGTGCTCATCTCCGTTTCAAAGCCGAAGAGCCGGCGCTGTCCGAAGACATTTCCGTGGTCATGTGGCCGGCATGACTAAACACCAAGGCGCATGGAACGCTGTTACCTTCCCACCGAAGTGGTACCTATTTATCTACTTG